ACCTGATCCTAATGTAGTTGTTCCTTTTACAGTGTCTGATGGGGATTTTAGGTTTTCCTGTTCTGCTTTGTCTTTTTGTGTTCTGGTGAGTCTCCTGACGTTTCCTTTTCGCATTCCTTTTGGTGTTCCTTTTTTCGGATGTGAAATGCCCGGCCTGTTTCCCCTGTGTGATTTATTGCATGATTTGCATTGAATTTCGTAGATGGTGTTGCATTTTTGTTCTTGTGGGATTTTGTCCTTGGGATGTACGAGTTGTTGGTGGAGTTTTGTGTCTGGTTTTACTACAGTGCTTATGTTGTGTTTTTTCATGGCTCTGGATGGTTCGGTTGTTCCTCTGATGTTCGGTAGTGTGACTATGTTCTTGTCCTGCTGCCCTGTGTTGGATTGTTGTGTTTTTTTCCGGGGTTTGTTGGTTTTATTGATAACTTGTTGTCTGCCTTTGTTTATGGGATACTGACATTGTTTGAGTGCTTGTATGATGTGTCTCTCCTCTTCCTCCCTGTCGGTCTGTGATGAGTGTGGCCCGTTCGAATAATGTTCTTACTACTGAAAGTTTGTGTGCAGTGGGATGTTGGGATGTCCAGAGTAAATATTGGTCAGTGTGTGTAGGTTTCCGGTATACAGTGATTTTGATGCTGCCGTCTGCGATGTGGTGGATTCTAATGTCCAAAAGAAAAGATGAAATGCTCCGCTCTTTTCTACCTTTCCTCGTGTTGTGATTGAACTGAATATTACTGTGTCGTCTTGTGGTTGAGTGTCTGTCCTTTTTAAGTTTTTCTTGTACTATGCGTAGTGTGACATCCACAGGTGTTTTGGTGAACAGTGATATGATGTCGTGTGATATGAGTATTTCATCGGTGCACTACTCGCAGACACCGACACGTCAGGGAGACTCACCAGAACACAAAAAGACAAAGCAGAACAGGAAAACCTCAAATCCTCCACATCAGACACTGTAAAAGGAACAACCACATTATGATCAGGACGAGAGACTCGGGTCATTGGATCTTGAAAAACAACAAGTTCAAACGCTGGATCAAGGAGGACGGTGAAATCAGGAAACGAGGCACGGACAGAATTAACCGTGATGACGGCGCGTTCCTCCTTCACACACCTGGGACACCCTCCTCCAGAGACACCGGGCGACGGGAGGCGTGGTCAGTCTGAGCGACCTGCAGGTCCATCAGGCTGACCACGCCCACAGGAAGTAACAACAACTGACCACGCCCACAGGAAGTAACAACAGCTGATATACGACACGTCACCACCAACACCGGTGACAGTTCTGAAGATGCAGCAGCCGAAACATGTCAACAAGGTAAATACACTTTACTGCATCGTCTTTAAAAAGAACATAAGAAGTTAAAGATCTAAAGCAGGTCTAAACTAGGACTAAAACAGGTCTAAAGCAGGACTAATCCAGGACTAAACCAGGACTAAACCAGGTCTAAAGCAGGACTAAACCAGGACTAAAACAGAGAGAGTCAGATGCCCTCCCAGGGCGAGTGAAAGGAGTGAGGGAGGGATACACGGACCAGCGGTCAGGAGACCAGCGCTTCACTGGAAAAAAAACAAAACAAAAAAACAAAAAAACAAAACAAAATCTATTCAAGTTAAAATGACTTAAATCAAGAACATTTTACTTTTTTTGAATCAATTCAACTTGACAAATCAAAGGATAAAACCAATGATACAGCGGAATAAGTGGAAAAGGCCTTAGTCTAGTCCTGGTTTAGTCCTGGTTTAGTCCTGTTTTTTTTTAACAGAAGCAGATTTTTATCCAAAACAGAAAGTTAAATCTTGAATTTCCAGTTTGTGCAGTGTCCAAAGAAAATGTGACACACTCAGTTTTGTTTCCACATTTAATTTTCATTTTATTCACACTTTATTAAATCTTGACAAATGATCAAAAATCAAAACTATTTTAATAGAAAATAAAGGATTAAAGATTCTCAAACATGCAGGAATGACTCCAAATACAAGTTCAGGTCTGATTTAAAGAACATAATGATGGATTATTTGTTTTGTTTGTGTTTTTTTCTTGAACCTTTTGCTTTGGCGTTTCATGTTTCAGAAGTTAAATCCTCAGCCTCTTGCAGCTTCACACCTCGACCTGGTGGTGGCGAGTCTGTTGTATCCAGCACTTTTTATCTGTGGATGTGGAGCTGGTGCCTTCGTCGGGTTCACTCCCCTCCCCTGCTGCTCGTCCTGTCAAGTGTTTTGTTCTGTGTCTGGACGCTGTTGGTTTTTGTGTTTTTCTCCCAGTGTCGTGATGTCAGAACAGGATCTGGGGTGGTTCTTTTTGTTTTCTCCCCCCCTTCCTCATGTTCTGCTGCAGTGTTTGTTCCTGTCTGCTCCCTGACTCCTGCTCCGGTCCACGTTGTCGGTTCTTTGTATGAACATGAACATGTGGAGAGAAGTGACAATAAAGCCCATTATTCATTCATTCATTCATCTGTCGTCACACAGTAAAGTGAATAAAGTTTGTCCTCATACAGTTTCTACAGTAAAACCACAACACTGAGCTGGGGTTAGGACGCCATCTGCTGGCAGTAGAGGAGATTACTCTTTAAAAATCACTACACAAACTTTTTCTGACACGATGAAACCTGCAGTTCTAAAAGGCGACGAGACAGAAATCCTCAGGTTTTGATTTATGGATTTCAAATCAGCTTTTGTCTGACAAATCCAGACTAACATGTGTCTGTATTTTTACACAGAGTGATGTTCGTCTGAGCTCCACTCCCTCTGTGTTACAGCTGCTCCATTATGGACTAAACCATTATCACCATTATTCTGGTCAATATTGAAATCACAATTATTCAAGCGATTATGTTTTAATCACACAATGTATTTATTCAGCAATTCTCTCTCTCAAAAAAAAAAAAAAAAAAAACACTTAAAAATAACATTGTTAATGTTCTCTGTAAACTCGGGATGATTTAGTCAGACAAATGTTTCCTTTTTGGTTCTTCCTGTGGATCAATCCTGCCCATCACCTTCACCTTTCACTATTTTTCAATTCTGTTGGGAAGAGAAACAGTTTGAACGGAGGTTTGAGTCACACACATCTGATTCACTTTTGCATTTATGAAGTTCACAAACACATTTCTCGAGTCGTTTTCCGCTGTTAGGATCCAACAACCACAACAATTACGATGTCCGAATCCCAAAACTAAAATATGACAATATCAGAACCAGAAACAAAAGTGAAATGGTTCAAAAGACTTGAAAAGATCGACTTTGACAATAGACACGTCCCACTGGGAAAACAAACATGGAGGTTTGATGTTCACTTTTTCACAGGATCTTTCCCAGTGTGAACTGCACCATGACCTGAAGTCTGAGAGTCATGATGTGTGTGTTCTTTAGGAAGTGCATTACATAAAAACATGAAGGATTAAAATCATGTTTTGCACAGAATTGATTGTTAGTTTGTAAATTTCCACTGTCAAGTCTTTAATTAAGGAACGAAGGTCCAACTTGGAAAACCAGAAAAACAGACACAAGCTCAACTCAGACTGAAGATTTTTATTGAAATTGTTCAGTTCCTTTAGTAGTAGTAGTAGTAGTAGTAGTAGTAGTAGTAGTCAGTTAGTTAGTAGTTAGTAGTAGTAGTAGTAGTAGTAGTAGTAGTAGTAGTGTAGTAGTAGTAGTAGTAGTAGTAGTAGTAGTAGTAGTAGTAGTAGTAGTAGTAGTCGTAGTGTAGTAGTAAGTAGTAGTAGTTAGTAAGTAGTGTAGTAGTAGTAGTAGTAGTAGTAGTAGTAGTAGTAGTAGTAGTAGTAGTAGTAGTAGTTGTAGTAGTAGTAGTAGTTGTAGTAGTAGTAGTAGTAGTAGTAGTATTTGTAGTAGCTGCAGCAGTAGCAGGTCGAAAATCTTTGAAGTAAACAAATATGCGTAATAATGAAATCAAATTTACATTTCAAAAATTCATTAGTAATTTAATCTATTTGAATTTTAATTAATATACTTCATTTACAATATGTATTATTTATTATAATATAACTTATTTTATACAATTTTAAATGACTATATGAAATAAATGTAATATTGTATCATCACAAATTTTTAACGGATTAATTAATCGTTTTTAATAGCTAATATATATATATATATATATATATATATATATATATATATATATATATATATATACATAATTAGTGCTACTTTAACTTAGTACATTTTACACCATTTACCATAAATCAGATTATATTTAAACAATCAAATGCCAATTATCAATCAAATGATTTAATTATTCAGTTTAGCTTTTAACATTTTAAGGACTTAAATTGAATTTATTTACTAATCTACATTTTAACTTAAATTGGGGAACTTCATATAAAATAAATCTGCCAATTGCATTTAAATCTAACTAAGGCTTCTCATTGTCCTTATTTAAATTAAACACAATATTCATTTTACATTTAAATTGAGACAAATTACTTTTTTATATGGATTTTACCACAATTTTACTGCTTTAACTAAACTTAAAACTCATTTTACAGGTAAATTTCCTCAGCGGTGTCTCTGTGTTTTCCCCTCATATTTGTTTTTGGTTTGGTTTGTGTTTGTTGTGTTTTCTACTGCCACCTACTGGACACACTGAGAATAACATGATCAACTGAACAGAGGAGGATGAGCTCAGGAGGTAAAGACTCGGAGCAGAGGAGCTGGGCTTTTTCACTTCACATCCACTTTCATCCATTAAATGTGCTACAGACTCAATATTTCTTTGATTTGTTACGATGTAGAACACGTCGGTTATTATTATATATTCCATATTATTGTGGAGTGTGGAGAATAATTATGAACATAAAACATTTTCCAGGACAGTAACATTTGCTTGTGGAACTGTGATCAAGACACAGGAAGATTATTGATGTCAAAGTCACAAACAAGTAGAAGGTTTAGTCCGCCCAGTTTGTTCAAAATAAAGTTACGGAGGCAGTACCACACGGAATTATGTCTTTTAATCTAACATTTAAGTNGAAAACAAAATGAAATGATGATTGACAGGACATTATCTGTTACATAAGGGTTTAGTTTAAATACAGATGCTGGCAATGACTCCTCTTCTCTCAAGTTCAGGAGGCACCGTCCTGACTTCTCCACCTCCTCATGGAGAAATCTCAAGGACTCCACCTCCCACCTGTGGAGACATTTAAAGAGCTCAGTTCTCCACTGTATTTCCCACAGTTCTCAGACTCAGCTGATCCACTCTGAGACAGTTGTGAGGAAGAGCCCAGCCCCCCCCCAAATAAATAAATAAATAAATAAACAGATTTGTGTGATTGATTCATGAGAGTGGCATTTTTATGTCTGAAAATCTGGAAAAATCACATGTATGCAAAACCTGCAGAAATCTGCATTGGTGCAGTGTAGTTCCACCACTGCTCCAGCAGGTGGCGCTAACACACTCCTTGTTTTGTATCATGTGTGGAGGGAAAATCCTCTGTTCTACAGACGTGCTGCAAATGAAATAAACTGTTCCACAAATGTACAGTTTCTGTCTGAGGAGTTTTCCTTTTTATTTGAATCTTTATTTGGAAAAAAAAAAAAAAGGTTTGGGTGTTAAAATTATATTTTATAAACATATTACGTATGTCATTTTTTTTTGCTATATGTAAATATTTGTTAAGTTCTGTGATCAATGCACAGAAGGAACCAAACTATGTCTATGAACAGGTTTGGGTTCATATAAGTTTTTCTTCTTCGAACTCCTTTTGGAGAAATGTGCTTTTCCGTTGTTTGCAATGTAGATGCAGTATACATGATTATTGTTTCTCTCTTGGCACAAACTCCAAACAAAAATGAATCAGTCAATCTGAACAGAAAACCTCTGGTCTGATCTACAGTGGAAGCAAATCTGTGCTCATAAAGAAATGGACTGAGTATAAACGCTTGTAAGAGTTCAAAATGAGCTGGGACCACATCTGATAAGAGACATTTTAGGTTCATTTCTAGGATTTGTCAAATGAGAGGTTTGTGTGAGTGTCATTCTGTTTTCTGATTGGATAACAGACGTTAGAAACAAAACTCCCAGTGACGTCATAAACGACTTGACCTTCACTTGTTTTTGTCAGAATAAATCAGCATTAAAACAGTTGTGAGTAAAAGTTGTATTTGATTAGAAGAGTTCACACTTCACCTGTACAGCTCCATCTGGGACACAGAGCTCATGTTTGAAAATGTTAAATAAAGATTCTAGAAACTCTACGTCTCACATTAAACCAGGTCAGACTCAGGTGTGATCAGACTTTACCTGAGGAGGAGCTGCACAATCCTCTGTTTCAATTCTTCTTTATCCACAAAGAATCTGTGAAACAAACCAATAATAATCGATCACATTCACACGTCTCCTCAGTCACATCCACAAAAACTATGAGGAGAATTTAGGACAAAAATGATTCCACTGCTGCTCTGGTAGAACCTCCCAAACCTGCTCAGAGCAGCAGAGATCAGATCTGAACAAGAGAAGAGACAGAAATGAGGAGAACATCACTCAGTCTTACCCAGACACAGACGACTGTAGACTCTTCACCCAGGTGAGGCGGGAGATGTCTCTGTGGACCTTCAGACAGACACGAGGAACCTGCTTCTTTTCTTTCAGTCAAGTTTAATGAGCGAATCAAAAGTTTCAGGTCGTTCTTAAAGTGTGTTATTTTTGGGAGGTGGGGAGGAGGACAGTAGACTGTGTGCTGGGACACTTCATCTGTACAATTCTCCAGTCAGAGTAGAAACGGACACCAGAATGTATTTTGGAGCTTTTAATGTCCTGTCATCTTAAGCTGGTATCTATTCTAACATTTCAATCATATTACTAAGTGAAATGTACACGCATAGAATCAGTCTATTAATAACAGTTACAACAGTTTATCTTTGCAATCAGCCCAAAATATACAAATTAATCGAGTTAAAAGAGTTAATTACTATTAGAATCACATCCAAAGTCAAACAATTAAAGAAGAATCAAATAAACATTCCCAGCCGCCCTCTGTCACAGACACAGACACAAACAGGACAAACTGAAGGCACCAGTAAGAACTAAGGACCCCTGAGCTGCCTGCAAGTGCCTGACCAAATAAACAGTTCCCTTAGAGAATTTACAACACCATCTGAGGTTAAATACGGCACGAGGCCGACAGTCGACAAGAACCACGAGGGGAAGTTGAAAAGAAGTTTGCAGAGAGACTCAAGAGGACGTGAAACTGTTCAGAGGTGAACTGGTCGGGTCAGTGTGTCCGGGAGACTCCCCCCTCGGCTGCTCAGTGCAGGAGGATCCTCAGGAGGATCCTCAGGAGGATCCTCAGGAGGATCCTCAGGAGGGACCTTTCCTCAGGTGCTGCCGGCCCTTGGCAATTTCTCTGACGTGGTTCTCTGAGGTGGTTCTCTGAGGCGGTTCTCTGAGGCGGTTCTCTGAGGCGGTTCTCGGAGGCGGTTCTTTGAGGTTCTTTGAGGTTCTCTGAGGCGGTTCTCTGAGGCGGTTCTCTGAGCGGTTCTCTGAGGCGGTTCTCTGAGGCGGTTCTCTGAGGCGGTTCTCTGAGGCGGTTCTCTGAGGCGGTTCTCTGAGGCGGTTCTCGGAGGTGGTTCTCGAGGCGGTTCTTTGAGGTGGTTCTCTGAGGCGGTTCTTTGAGGTGGTTCTCTGAGGCGGTTCTCTGAGGCGGTTCTCTGGCGGTTCTCTGAGGCGGTTCTGAGGCGGTTCTCGGAGGTTCTCGGAGGCGGTTCTTTGAGGTGGTTCTTTGAGGTGGTTCTCTGACGTGGTTCTTTGAGGTGGTTCTCTGAGGTGGTTCTCTGAGGCGGTTCTCGGAGGCGGTTCTCTGAGGCGGTTCTCGGAGGCGGTTCTCGGAGGCGGTCGGAGGCGGTTCTCTGAGGCGGTTCTCTGAGGCGGTCTGAGGCGGTTCTCTGAGGTTTCTCTGAAGCGGTTCTCTGACGTGGTTCTCTGAAGCGGTTCTCTGAGGCGGTTCTCTGAGGCGGTTCTCTGAGGCGGTTCTCTGAGGCGGTTCTCTGAGGCGGTTCTCTGAGGCGGTTCTCTGAGGCGGTTCTCTGAGGCGGTCTCTGAGGCGGTTCTCGGAGGCGGTTCTCGAGGCGGTTCTCTGAGGCGGTTCTCTGAGGCGGTTCTCTGAGGCGGTTCTCGGAGGCGGTTCTCTGAAGGTTCTCTGAGGCGGTTCTCGGAGGTTCTCGGAGGCGGTTCTCTGAGGCGGTTCTCTGAGGCGTTCTCTGAGGCGGTTCTCGGAGGCGGTTCTCGGAGGCGGTTCTCGGAGGCGGTTTCTTTGAGGTGGTTCTTGAGGTGGTTCTCTGAGGCGGTTCTCTGAGGCGGTTCTCTGAGGCGGTTCTCTGAGGCGGTTCTCTGAGGCGGTTCTCTGAGGCGGTTCTCTGAGGCGGTTCTCGGAGGTGGTTCTCTGAGGCGGTTCTCTGAGGTGGTTCTCTGAGGTGGTTCTCTGAGGTGGTTCTCTGAGGCGGTTCTTTGAGGTGGTCTCTGAGGCGGTTCTTTGAGGTGGTTCTCTGAGGCGGTTCTCTGAGCGGTTCTCTGAGGCGGTTCTCTGAGGCGGTTTCTCGGAGGCGGTTCTTCTTGAGGTGGTTCTTTGAGGTGGTTCTCTGAGGCGGTTCTTTGAGGTGGTTTCTCTGACGTGGTTCTTTGAGGTGGTTCTCTGAGGTGGTTCTCTGAGGCGGTTCTCGGAGGCGGTTCTCTGAGGCGGTTCTCGGAGGCGGTTCTCGGAGGCGGTTCTCGGAGGCGGTTCTCGGAGGCGGTTCTCTGAGGCGGTTCTCTGAGGCGGTTCTCTGAGGCGGTTCTCTGAGCGGTTCTCTGACGCGGTTCTCTGACGCGGTTCTCTGAGGCGGTTCTCGGAGGCGGTTCTCTGAGGCGGTTCTGAGGCGGTTCTCTGAGGCGGTTCTCTGAGGCGGTTCTCTGAGGCGGTTCTCTGAGGCGGTTCTCTCGGTCTCGGTCTGAGGCGGTTCTCTGAGGCGGTTCTGAGGCGGTTCTGAGGCGGTTCTCTGAGGCGGTTCTCTGAGGCGGTTCTCTGAGGCGTTCTCTGAGGCGGTTCTCTGAGGCGGTTCTCTGAGGCGGTTCTCTGACGCGGTTCTCTGACGCGGTTCTCTGGCGGTTCTCGGAGGCGGTTCTCGGAGGCGGTTCTCGGAGGCGGTTCTCTGAGGCGGTTCTCTGAGGTGGTTCTCTGAGGTGGTTCTGAGGCGGTTCTCGGAGGCGGTTCTCGGAGGCGGTTCTCTGAGGCGGTTCTCTGAGGCGGTTCTCTGAGGCGGTTCTCTGAGGCGGTTCTCTGAGGCGGTTCTCTGAGGTGGTGCGCTGCGACTGACTCTGGGTCGACCAGGATGGAGGTGAAGGTGGCACGTGGGGCCGTGGGATCAACGCTTCAGCCCTCACACTTTCAGAGCTCACAGCGTCTGCACTCACTCCATCTCTCCTGCTGAGACAGCGGGTTTGATGCTGATGCACACACTGAACAGACATTATACCATAGTTATGTCAAATCTAAACTCATTTATCTGAATATGCATCGTTAGAGTTAGAGTTCATTTTAGAGTTAGAGTTACAGATGTGGACAAAAGTGATGGTTCCCCTCAAAATGATTGTAAATAATAATGAACGAAAAATCAACAATGTTCACTGAAATAACTTGAAACTGAGAACTGTGAAGTACTGTGAAGTACTTTGAAGTACTGTGGAGTACTGTGAAGTACTGTGGAGTACTGTGAAGTACTGTGGAGTACTGTGAAGTACTGTGAAGTACTGTGAAGTACTGTGAAGTACTGTGGAGTACTGTGGAGTACTGTGAAGTACTGTGGAGTACTGTGAAGTACTGTGAAGTACTGTGAAGTACTGTGAAGTACTGTGGAGTACTGTGAAGTACTGTGAAGTACTGTGAAGTACTGTGGAGTACTGTAGTACTGTGAAGTACTGTGGAGTACTGTGAAGTACTGTGGAGTACTGTGAAGTACTGTGGAGTACTGTGGAGTACTGTGAAGTACTGTGAAGTACTGTGAAGTACTGTGAAGTACTGTGGAGTACTGTGAAGTACTGTGGAGTACTGTGGAGTACTGTGAAGTACTGTGGAGTACTGTGAAGTACTGTGAAGTACCGTGAAGTACTGTGAAGTACTGTGAGTACTGTGAAGTACTGTGAGTACTGTGAAGTACTGTGAAGTACTGTGAAGTACTGTGGAGTACTGTGAAGTACTGTGGAGTACTGTGAAGTACTGTGACGTACTGTGGAGTACTGTAAAGTACTGTGGAGTACTGTAAAGTACTGTGAAGTACCGTGGAGTACTGTGAAGTACTGTGATGTGGTGTCCTCAAATGTACTACTATACTATATAAAAGGCAATACAGTTTTTTATTTTATTTATTTATTGTTTATTTATTAAATATTCAAGTCAGTTGAGAAGACGACCTGGACAAGAGACAGAATAAAACAGAAACACAAACAGAAACATTCACCTCAACCACAACATGAAACAGAAAACAGAGACACGAGACACTGAAACATTTACAGTTAAAGATATAAAGTGTTAAACTTGTGCAATGATCCTGTCAAATATTCTGGATGCAGTTTTTAAACAGTAACACAACATGATGAAAAATATATGATTTATTATTTATTAAACACTTTTCCATCTGAATTCCTTCTGTTCTGATCGTTCAACTCTTATTTAAATACTCAAATATAAATATACCAGGACTTTTTAAGTGCAATTTAGTTTAAAATTCATTTAATTTGTAAAAATCTAAAGACTTGAAGTGACTCAGTGAACTCCAAAACAGACGACTTGGACTTGACTTGGACTTGACTTGATCCCACCTCTGGCAGCTACAGAAACAGGCTTTGTACAAAACACAGAGGATCAGATTTGTTTAAATAAAAATAAAAAGTGAAATGTGCTTTTAAAGTAGTTTTCCATCCAGAGAAAATCTGAATTATGTGCGTGTCATTCTCCAGTTTGAGTCCATGAAACCAGAATCAAATCTGTTGAACTCAACTGGTCAGGTTAGTACAGAAGCCCGAAGCGGCAAAAAAAAAAAAAAAAAAAAAAGGAGGCACGTGATCTGGGCTCCATTTTTTTTGTTGTTGTTGTTTTTTTCCCCATATTCAAAATTCTTGCCCTTTTTTTTGTACCAACTCAAAAAAAAAAAAAAAAAAAAAAAAAAGTTTGTGTTTTTTTTTTTTTTTGCACAAAAGCATCAGTGTTTTTGTGTTCTTTTTATGAGTTATATGAAAAGTAAAATCGACACATCACTGGTCATGAAAAAAGATGCTGTTTCTATTGTACCATTTGTATTTTAGATTTTTTTTTTTTTTTTATCAGACACATCAACAGTAAAATAAATAAATAACTGTGCAAAAAAGGACAAGAAACATTATTATTATTATTATTATTTATGTTTTGTTTTTTTTTTTTTTTTTTTAAGCCGTTGTTGAAGAAAACAAACAAAAAACTAAAAGAGGCACATCATTTGCGCTCCATTTACTAAGTGTTTTATTTTCCACCATCAGCTCGGAAAAAAAAAAAAAGTTTGTCTTTTTTTTTTGTACCAACAACTTTTTTTTCTTTTTGCTTTTTACTGCTGTATA